GGGCCCGCGCCCTGAGCGCGCCGAGCACGTCGCGCGCGCCGAGCATGAGACAATGATGCACATTTTAAAATAAAGAATGATGCACATTTTAATAAAGCACAGCATAAACTGTTCTTTCCACTCCGGGCTGGCCGTGTGTGTCTGTCCCGTCGGATCGGGCCGCGGACTTCTCTGCTTCATCCCACAGTACCTTCCCTGAGGCTGCCTCCTGCCTTGGGTCCGCCCAGCCCCAGGGCTCTCCCTTCGGCTCACTCCCTCTGGCCGGGTGCCCACCCTTCCCCCTTTTCTTGCTAGTCATGCATGACCCCCTCTCTGGCAGCCCTTCCTCTCGGACCCTTTCCCCTTATCCTTCCTCTCCCCCCCGCCCCCCTCCCCTCGATCTCCAGTGGAAGTTGTGTTACTGTGCTCCCGGGCCTAGACAAGCTCGGGGTTGGAGGGGGTGGGCAGACAACTTGAATAAAGAGAATGCCCGCCCACACCCGGCCCATTCAATTCTCCCAAGATGCACTTGGGTTTTGCTACCTGCTGTTTTGTGACCTGGGCATCTCTGGTTTTGTTGGAAGACTTAGGGGCTGCCTCTTCTATTTTGACCCTTGGCTTCTCCTAGAACCGGTGGGACCAGAAAAAAGATTGGGAAATAGCTCATTTGAAAAACTGATTTCTTATTCCTATTTTACAGGTGAGGAAACAGCCTTGAGAGGCATGCTATCATACTCCTGTCCTCAAACTCAATACCCTGAAAGCCACCCACAGGAAGGGCCCATGACAGGAAGTTGCCTGGGAGTGTAGTATTTTAAGCTGAACAAGTATTTTCCACTTTCCAATTTTGCTTTAATGAACCTGTATTTTTTTTAATATTGGAAAAATATATGTAAGCCAAAGATCAGGTTCAGTCTCCTGAGATCTAAGTACAACTGACTTAATTTCCCTCCCCTAATCACAGAGGGTAGAAGGCCAGCTGTCCTCGGAGCACTTCAGAATCCCACGGTCACCTGTACGGTGACTTCTCGACTTCCACACAAATGCTCCCCTAGGCAGTGCCAAATGTGGGAAGTTTATTGAAGGAGAGGATGTTGACCAAAAGGTCTACTTTGAAGTGAGGACTTTACATGACCATTCGGCTCCTGGTCCTTTAAGACAGTGGTCGCTAACCGGTGGTCCATGAGGTCCGAAAGGTTGGCGACCGCTGCTTGAAGACGTCCTGGTTCTTGAAAGCCCCCCACACCTATCTTTCCCCTCCACCATGATAACCCCTGGCATCAGGCACTAGTGCTGGCTTTTCCCTCCTCCTTCACTGCTCTCCTCCACCCGTCCCTCCTGGAGAACCCCTCGGGGACTCCCAGTTCTGTTAGGTGGAACAATCAGCTGTTTCTGTCCCCACCAAGCTTAATGTCGGCCCTCTGCAGCCGAACAACCCCTGCTGCTGCTCTGCAGAAAAGGGGCCTCATTCCCTGTAAACAGTGCTCACCTGCTTAGGATGTTTTCATTTTAAGGGAGAAAAAAAATATCAGGCTCTGTATTTTTTTTTTAATATATTTTATTGAGTTTTTACAGAGAGGAAAGGAGAGAGATAGAGAGCCAGAAACATCGATGAGAGAGAAACATCGACCAGCTGCCTCCTGCACACTCCCCACTGGGGATGTGCCCGCAACCAAGGTACATGCCCTTGTCCGGAATCGAACCTGGGACCTCTCAGTCCGCAGGCCGACGCTCTATCCACTGAGCCAAACCGGTTTCGGCAGGCACTGTATTGATACGGTCTCACCATTGAGAGCAACTGAAGGTAGCTTGAGCAAAAAGGAATTCGTTATTTTAAGTGCCTTGGAAGGATATAAGTAGTGATTAAAGCAAGCACTGTAGGAACCAGGGCATCTGTCTGGCTATAACCAAGGATTCAGCTCCACCAGGACTGCCCCATTGTTCCTCTCTCATCCCAGATTATCTCCTGGGCAGGCAGCACGTCCACAAGCAGTTTAGAAATCCCCAGAAGGGAGAGGCGTTTCTCCCAGTCGCTGTGTATCTACCCGTAGGGCAGTGGTTCTCAACCTTGGCTGCACATTAGAATCACCTGGGAATCTTTTTAAAATCCTGATTCCTGGGCCTTCATCCTCCAGAAATTCTGGTTCTTTGTTATTTTCTGGGGCCACAACATTAGTAACAAAGAAACAGAATTTCCGGAGGAGAGGCCCAAAAATCAGGATTTTAGAAAGATTCCCAGGTGATTCTAATGTGCAGCCAAGGTTGAGAACCACTTGCTAGAGGAACAGCAACTGGCCCTTCTTAAATCATATGTACACGCCGTGGGCCAATTACCATTGCCAGGAAGATGGGAGACTGTAACTGACAGGCTGGGCCACCGGTAAGCCTTCCCTTGAGGTGTAAGTAAGCCCCGCCAGGTGATTGACAGCATCACCAGAAAATAATGGGTAAAGATGGAGAAAGAAACAAACCAGGAGCAGAGACAGCTGATGCCAAGATTAGAAGATTGGTATGCCTGGGAGCGAGAGAGGCCAGAAAAGAAAGGGTAGAGACTGGCAGGGGCCAGGGTGACAACTCTCTTCTGTGGCAATGAGGAGCCTTGGGCAGGAGGACCAGGAGTCAGGCCTCTGGGTTCTAGTTCAGGCTTTGTCCCTGGACAGACAATACAGGTCCCCCAGGCCTGTGCAGGGCACTGCGGATTCAGTGGTGAACCTGACCCACTCGGGCCTTGGCCCTCACAGAACTCACATGGCTACCAATGAACCACCAGGAGGCCTCACACAGGCAAGCCCCTTCCCTTAGGGCCCCTTTCCCCACTGATTTAAAAAAAAGGCACTGGCTGATTTCTTTGGACTTTGCCAGCCCTATAATGCTGAATCCTTCCCATCTTGCCTTCTCCCATCTTCTTACTTCCTTTGTCCCATCTTCTCAACCTTCCTTTCCATATATATATATATATATATATCCCTCACCCCAGATTCCAGACACACACCTTGCCAATGGGCCAGACCCTGGAGCCAGTTAGGTATAGAATGTCCGTGAGTAGGGCATTCTAGGTGGAAGGAACACTGTGACAAAGGCAGGAGGCAGAAAAGTGCAGGGCAAGTTCAAGGAATTCAGTTCAATCAACTTTCACCAATACCTACCTGGGCCACACCAGGTGCTGAGAGCCCAGGCCTGAATCTGAGCACGTGCCCTTGCAGAGCTCAGAATCCAGGGGATCCAGGGATGAATTCACAGGAGAGAAGCTGGACTGAGACATTGAGTCTGAACTTTGTTTTGTGGGCGACAGGGAGCACCACAGGCTCCAATCTGGATCACTTCTCTTTCTACTTCGCATCATCTCCATCTGTCCTCTGCCGCTGGTCCTTCTTTCCCACTGAAAAAGTCACTGGCCTAAATTCTAGTCCTGGGTTTGAGTGCTGACTACCATTTACAAGCTGTGCAACCTTGGGCTAGTTACTTAGCCTCTCTGAGTCTCCATTTCCAAATCTGTAAAATGAGATTAATGACACCTGGTGGGAGGTTTCAGTAGTCACGCAAGTACAGCACCAGGCAGGAATCTCTGGCATAGCCAGCACTTGAAGAGGCTGATGCTGCGCCTACAGTTGGCTTCAAGGGGCAGCAGAGAGCCGGCCAGCCAAGCCCCCAGGGACTGGATGATACCCAGCCAGGGAGGGGCTTGGGGAAACCCTCTTGCCTCCCTCTGCCAGCTTCCCAGCAGTTCTGCTCAGAAGCCTGCGAACTTGGTAGGGGGGCATTTCCAGGGGAATCCCCAAGTGGTAAAAGCAGAGTTGCCTCCTTCACCCTGATCCCAAAGCAGGACCCCAGATCCCAGCCTTACTGTCTGGACCTGAGGAATGGGGTGGGGCCCAGAGAAAAGGCGATGCTTGACTCAGTGCCTTCCCTTATTCTCTCTCAGACACCTTATTAGCCAGCCCCTCCCTAAGGACTCCTTTTAAAGGGAGGGGGTGAAGTACAGATGGACCCCCAGGTTACCATGGAGATGGCAGGGGAAGGGTTGCTATGTCGTCATGGCAACGATTGACGTCAGCACCATCTTTTCCCATTGCTTGATATGAAACGGGGGCAGCCACCCCAACCACAAGCAAGTTCCCATAAAACCTTCTCCCCTTACTGAGCCAATCAACCAGGGGTCGACAGGCTTAATATAGTTCAGGAGTTAAAAGCACAGACTCTGATGCCAGTCAAACCTGAGTTCCAGCCGAAACCGGTTTGGCTCAGTGGA